CTAATTTTTCGGAATTTGTGGTTATTGTTTTCATACAGTTTGCATACTGAAATTATGGCAGGTGGGCCGTATAACGTAAGGTCTACATAAAGATTAACTTATAATTATTCATGATCTAACACGAAAAATCATAGAATGCCCTGAAGCCAACACCGAGTTCCAGGTAACACTTTTTTCTTAGCCTTGAAAGTAAAACTTGGTCAGTGATTTCTGACAAGCCAATCTTTGATTTCATGTGATCTGCAAACCATAAAGTGACTGGCCCGACGGCTTCAGTGTTGTTGTGGAGGAGGTATAGTTATTTTAACCATGGTGTGGTCCTCGGTTCTGAGTTGCCAGTTTCAGCAGATGATGAAAATTTGTTTATTGGGGGTGCTGACTTTGTCTTCTACAGTGAAATGAAGTAGCTAGTTTATAGGTAGGTGACGCCAATGGCATCAAAGCGTTGTTTCGGTCTACGCCCTCATACACCCATTTTTCCCGTGCTGTTTCCTGTTCTTACAGGATTCTAGTGTGTACAAGTTTGAAATAAACGATGAGGTAAACACAATAAAAGTCATGTGACCTTGTTTAATTTCATGACAGTGTCTTGTTTAATTAACTTTAATTATACAAATGCATTTAATAATTAAACTTTAAATTGCGAGATGTAAAGATCGCAATGTAGTTGTCCAAAACACACTATTGTGTACTTAAAATATAGTGTCCATTTATGTTGTAATGTGGACAAAAACATGAAATTATTCAGCTTTGACTTTTGATGCGACTTGTTGAGAACAAAATTGGGTTATTATTTTCCGTAAATGTTTTATATTGCTTATTCAATACAGTGTACAGTATTCATTCGGTGAAAAAATACAAACTCTAATACACATATGCAGTGTTTGTTATTGCAGGTACTAAAACAATCAGGTACATTGTCATCCTGTCATCAAACATGTAAATTTATTATTTTGTGTATACTAGAAGAAAACGTACTAATAATTCAAAATTACGTACGTATTGGAGGTCGTGGTGTGTGTTTTAAAATGATGTGTGCATTTTAAAAAACGGCGTGACTATGCGTTTTAATTGTACGTGCTTTAAAAAATCATGTGTGTATATTAAATGGCGTGGGTGTTTTAAAAAACGTGTGTTTTAAAAATGACGTGTGAATTAAAAATGTTGTGTGTCTTAAAATGACGTGTGTGTTTTACAATTATGTGTATTTTAAAAATAATGTGTGTTTAAAAACATAACGTGTGTGTAAAAACGATGCGTGTGTTTAAAAACGACATGTGTGTTTTAAAACGACGTGTATGTTTAAAATGACCTGTGTGTTTTTAAAAATGGCGTGTGTTTAAAAACGACGTGCGTGTTAAAAAAATGACGTGTGTGTTTTTAAAAACGACGCGTGTGATTAGAAATGGCGTGTGTGTTTTTAAAAATGGCGTGTGTTTAAAAACGACGTGTGTGTTTAAAAATGACGTGTGTGTTATTAAAATGTGAATGCTGTTTAAATGGTAGTCTCAGTGATAGGCAAATAATACCAAATGAGATATCGGTTTAATTGTAAATATTTGTAAATAACAAACAAATGTCCAAACTCTTGGTCATATTTGAATGAAGTACGTGTAACTCTGAGAACGCAAATACCAAAAATGTGGCATTTTGAATTTGAAAAATGTATGAATAAAACACGTGTACCAAATGAGGTGTTTGAATAATGTTTGAATGAGCTCAAATTAGGGAGAGTGTTTTCAAAATGACTATTTTGAACTGTAGGAATTAATTTGCGATTCAGCCAATGACGGAAAATGAAATCTAGGTCAGGGGAAGCCCCATGACCTCAAGATTTTTCATCACGTCACGAACCACGTGACCGTGGCAATGAGGCGCCGCCATATTGCCTTTATCTTCAATCTGGTTCTCTTTTTCCTCACCAAGGACTAAGTCGGGGGACTCGGAATCTATGGTGGGTATAAACTATGTGAATAGGCAGGTTGAAAACCCTTCGCCTAAATTCACTATGTTCAACTATCCACAATAGTCTTCAGTCAGTCAAAATGACTATTTTTTAACTGTAGGCAGAGTCAGACACCGCTAAGTGGCGAGATTTCCGAGCGAACAGAAAAAGATGAAAGGTTGTCCCAGTCCAGTCCTCTAATATGACTACCATCTAGTTAAGTCCAGTGAAGAAACGGTATCTTACTTTGCCAGTGCCGTCCACAGAACAAAGCAAAATGCTGATCGGTGACGGGGTTCGGTATGCCCGAGAACACTAGACCCAAATTCTTGGGTAACTAGCTTTCAAAAGAAAAGACCAAAACAGTTCTGTGTGAGGGCATAGGTCGAAAGCGAGACCTGGAAAGTTCCAGGGAGCGCTGATGGGAGAAACCTCTTAGTACAAATCTGTAGCAATACAAATATATCTCCTATTCGCAGGGCTCCCTGAGGTCGTCTGGGCTGGGTCAGTAACCAAAGCCTGACCCGCTACGACGGGACCCTTCTAAAAAGACCCTCCTCAATGGATTGGGTATCTCTTAGGTAGAAGTGGTAAAGACATTTTGCGTTCTCAAGAAGCCTGCCCTCAGCACATGTTTGAGGGGGCACCTAACGTTAGCAAAAGTTAGCAATTGCATGGACTTCATGCGCTCGTAATTTGTGTCTCTGTAAACCCTGTCTCGAAGAAGCCAAATGTTAAAAACATTGAACCTGGTCGCAGTTATCTACCTGGCAATGGAATTCGGGGAGGCTGGTCTGTACTGCTTACCCTGGCCATAACACATAAACATGTGTTTGTTGTCATGCCTCAACTCATTAGTATAACTCTCATAGCAACTCAGCGCTCAAACCGGGCACAGCAGCAACTCCACCTGATCCTCCAGGTTGACAATGTTGCCAGCCGGCAAATGATGATCGGTTGTGGATCACTTCCTGTGATTTGATTCTTGGCAAGGAACCGGATTCGTGTCTTTAGCACGACTTGATTATCCATAAAGGCGGCACACGTTTCCAAGAAGAACCGGGCCCCTAGTTAAGCCTGAAGCCTACCTGAGGCAAAGGATAGTAGGAAGACTGTTTTCCACGTCAAATATTTGAGTGTTGCCAATCGGTGAGGCTCAAAGGGCGGCCTGCTTAGAGCGGACAAAACAATCGACAAGTCTCAATTGGGTGGTTCTTTCGTTCAGGGTCTAGGCCTCAGATTAAGCAGTAAACAGTCTCCTAATAGTAGGACAACCTGCCAGCCTCGTCCCCAGAAAATTCTCAATGGTGGGTGACAAGGCTGATCTGTAGCCAACGATCGCTGAAACGACAATTCCATTTCGTCAAACAGATGGACGAAAATTCAGCTGCCTGGCCAACAGAGGGATGGCGTGGATCTCCCTTCCACTACACCAATCAGT